AAAAAAAAAAAAAAAAAAAAGAAGAAGAAGAAAAATAAGTTTAATGAATACTGAATAAATTAGTACATTAGCATTAGATTTGCTTTATTCAACTTTTATTTTTCATTACATTTTAGTACAGCAAAGCAGATACAGGTAAACAACAGTATTCTTTACACAATAGCAGACAGAAAGGAAGGCCAGCCACAATTAAGGTTGCTTTTGCAGTTGTTCTATTTGTTTGTTTAACACCTGCAGATATATCATTTTACTGGTAAAATTTGGAAACATTCAAGAAAAATCTTATATCTATAGCTATATGATATATATTCTTTTCCAGATAATGCAACAAGATGGAAAGATTTCCAAAACATTTTACAAAGCTCTCAAAACTCTTACACCAAAATATGACAGCAAAGCAAGTGGTCAATTATATTTATCCTATTGGACAGTATATTAAAACACTTGAAACTTTTCAAGATACCACACAAGAACTAAATATGAATAAACACAAATAGAACTAGAACACAAATACCAAATATAATACCACCAATACATAAGACTTAGGGCTCTAGGGCCTGGCCTTGCAAGGCCCTTCTGACTGCCATGCATTCCTCTATCTGAAGTTGTGAACAAAGAATTGCCTGTGCCCAACATCTGCTCTATTGGCCTCATCTTCCATTGCTTCCCTGTACTGCTGTGGCCAGTCCTGTGGTTCCTTTCTGTGAATTCTGGCCACATACCGCAGGGCTTTCATCTTGGAGGTTTCCAAGCGGGCTCTAGGGCCCCATACAAACTCATATTGCACTGGATCACTATCGGGAACCCGTAAACTGTCTATATAGCGCTGGCTCAAATACCTACAGGTAATTACATGCTTTCTCCCAGACTGAACCCCTAAGCCCCGCAGAAAGGCCCAGACTGCAGACTCCCTGGCATGGTTGCCCATTATAAAGATGAAGCTTAGGACCTGCATCAAGAAGTTGTTGCCAGGCCTGTTTGGACTGTCCACAATCTCTTCAGTTTCTTCCATTTCTCTTCGGTTGTACAGGGTATAGGAGTGGTTCCTGGGATCAAGTACCACTAGCTCTGTCCCATAGACATGGTTCAGGGTGCGGGCAGCACGATTCAGGAGGTCAGGGAACACTTTGCTGCATTCTCGGCCAATGTAGTAAAGAATTCCTTTCTTTGGTATAGGTAGCTTAGTTGAATCCATAAGCAGAAATAACTGCACCAACTTCCTTGCCTTGCTCTCCAATCTTGACTCAGGCCATGAATGTGGGGGATATTTTGAGGAATGGTTGGAAATCTCTGAATCTGGGAATGCTACCTCTGCAGCAGCTTCCTCAAAAAAGGGCCTTCTAAAGTGAGGGAGAGCCTGCCAACCCTCAGCCAAGGCTCTGGCAGCATCTTCTTCCAAAGCCTCATTGTATTGCTCTGGCCAATCCATAGGATCTTTGTTATAGATCTTGGCCATGAACTTCAGAATTTTCATCTTAGTGGTTTCTAGGTGGGATCGTGGGCCCCAGAAAAACTCATACTCCACTGGATTACAGTCAGTTATTGGCCTGTAGTCCAAGTAACGCTGCCATACAAACTCCACAGACAGAAGTCTCTTGGGGTTCCCAAAAATCGAAAGCCTCCTCTCCCGCTGCACCCCCATCCTCCAGAGCATTTCCCAAATCTCGGCCTCTTTGGCTTGGTTGCCATTCAGGAATATTTGTCCTAGAATCATCATCAGGAGGCCCATCTTTGGCCCATTAGGGTTCTCTTCTAACCCTTCAAAGGGCACAGGTCCAAGTTTGTTGAGCAGAATGTAGGTATGTGCTTCCGGGTCAAGTTCACGCAATTCAAACCTAAAAATGCATTCCAAGTGAGCTGCTGCTCGTCTGAGGATCTCAGGGAACTGACTGCGATATTCTTTAACAATATATTCCCTCATTTCAGACTCCCGGATAGGGTACTTGCTCTGATCCTTCACGAGCAGAAACTGCAACAACTCAGCTACATTCTGTTCCATGGGGTCCTGGGGCTTCAGGGTAATGGCAACCTGAGAAGTACTGAGGCCCATAATGGTAATTGAATTGGGGCTTTCGTAGTCTCTCAGGACCTGGAATTCCACAGGACCTTCTGCACCCTTAGGGCCCTCAGAGTCCAAGTCCCCAGGGGCCCTAGCCACACTAGGGTTTGGCAAAACAATGGAGCACTTGGAGGGCTTCTGGGCCACAGACGCACTAGAGCTCAACAATGTGCTTGGTCTCTCACCAGGGGTGGGTGGCATGGAGTTGCTCGGTTCCTCACAGGCGGTGGGCAGCATGAACGTGCTCAATCCCTCACCAGGGTTGGGCGGCACAGATGTGCTCGGCCCCTCACCAAAGGGGGGCAGCACAGAGGTGCCCGGTCCCTCAGAGGCGGTGGGTGACACGGAGGTGCTCGGTCCCTCATCAATGGGGGGTGGCACGGAGGTGCGCAGTCCCTCAGAGGCGGTGGGCAGCACGGAGGTGCTCGGTCCCTCATCATTGGGGGGTGGCACGAAGGTGCTCATTCCCTCAGAGGCGGTGAGCAGCACGGAGGTGCTCGGTTCCTCACCAAAGAGGGGCGGCATGGAGGTGCCGGGTCCCTCAGAGGCGGTAGGCAGCTCAGAGTTGCGCAGTTCCTCACCAAAAGAAGGCAGCAAGGAGGTGCCCGGTCCTACAGGGGTGGTGGGCAGCACGGAAGTACTAGAGCCCTCATCGGTGTTGGGAGGCACCGAGGTGCTCGATTTCTCAGAGGAAGTGGGCGGCCCAGAGGTGCTTGGCCCCTTAGAGATGGTGGGAGACCCAGAGATGCTTGGGTCCTCACCAGGGGAGGGCAGCACGGAGGTGCTCAGTCCCCCAGAGATGGTAGGCTGCCTGGAGACGTTTGAGCCCTCAGAGGCTGTGGGCGGCTCACAGGTGCTTGGGCCCTCACCGGGAGTGGGCAGCACAGACATACTTGGGCCCTCAGAGGCGCAGAGGCCCTGGAGGATCCTAGGATCGCTGAGACCCTGGGGGACGTCTGGGCCTGCCATAACAGCGGGGAGACCAGAGGCGTTAGGTGCCTGAATTTCACCCCAGCTGCCGCTGTTGTGCGCAGTGGCCGTTGAACCGCGGCGGCGGCGGCGGCGCGAATTCTGGCTTACCAGTGACATGGTCCTGTCTACCGGCGAGTAGAAGCAAACACCAACAGGACCGCGATCTGGCAGAAAGAGGACAGGAGGCGTGTAGATGCTTCAGCACAAAACTGCCGCTAGCGATAATGCTGTTGCTGTTGCTGCTGCTGCAAGAAAGAAAAGCTCCAGTCAACTTGCTGGAACCGAAAGTAGAGGCGATGGAGAAAGCAGGTACCAGCCCACAGTGAACGTTAGTCGCTGTGCATTCGGCTTCTCACACCCCGCCTTCTGCCGCAGTCCGCGCAGGCGCAGTTGGGCTCTGCGGCAAGGAGACCGAGCCCCCCCCCCGCCTCACCCTAGGGCCTGAGAGAGTGGATGTGGGGGGGTTCTGCACCAGAGGAGAGCACTGGAAGGAGGGAGACTGTGGTAGAATGGGACCCGGAGAGAATGGATGTGGAATAAAAGCGGAAATAACAGCTACTTTTCAGAGTTAGGGTATAGATTAGGGGGCTTCTACACAGTGTCAAACACTCAACACATTCTCAAAATTTGTAATTACGTCCTTGGGATTTGCTTTTCCCTGAAACTGCTTCGGGAAAAATGTGCATGGTCTCTAAAAGGGCAAAGCCCCCATCCCTCCCCGTTTCTTCTATCACTTTATCTATTTAGGTTGTGAGCTTTTCTACTGTTGTGAGCTGGGAAGAATGCTTTTCTTGAAGTCCTGGGATTTAGTCCCAATTAGGAAGCCTAGAACCAGTTTGAAGAACCCTAACCCTTACCAGTACAGAGGATTGCATCTTGCCTTGGGAAAGCTACTAAAATTCTTAAAAATGTGGTTAATATTTTCTTTTTATTTTAGAATACAAACATTTTGGTTACATTAATTGCTTTTGTGCAGTTTGAGTCAAAGTTATAAGTGTGCCCATCACGAAGACAGTGTACATCATACCCATCAGGTATGAATTTAACTGTCCCCTCCTTTCACTCCCTGATTACCTGCTCATTTGATAGAAATGTTGTAAGGATCAATTGAGATGCTAAGTGTTAAAGGTTGTTACCTACTCTGTTTTACTCGGTTATTACTGAGCACTTTGAACAGATCTAATCCTGACCCCTCATTCATTTATTCAACAAACAGTAATCATCTGACAAGAAATTAGAGTTAATTTCTTTGTCCTCAAGGCCCTCCCAATGTAAAAGCAAGAATCAGATAAAGAAAAAGTGAAACAAAGTTTTCTAGAAGTTTGTATAGAATGCAGTGGACAGCAGGGTCAATTCTACCCATAGAGCCAGAAAAGGCCACATAAAATAGTTGATGTTTAAAAGATGATTTGGCAAGTATTTATCAAAAGAACAAGGATGAGAAAAGCATTACAACCAAGTAGTACAGCAGAAGTTAGAAAGAAAACAGTGGAGTGCACAGATGGGTTGTTTATAGAAGTAGACTGAATGGGGAGGACACTAAATTTGTGACATTCACACAACCAATCCTCTATCACTCATCTTACCACTGTTGACCCTCTGTTTTGATGTTTGTACCTTGTTGCAAACATTTACTGTATATGGCATTTTTTGATGTCTCTACAACAATCTTGCAGTAGACTTCCTTTATACTTGTTTGGAGAAAGGGAAAATAACTGGCTACAATCACAAAGTGTCACCACTTCTTGTCTCAACTGGAGAAGCAATGACACATATACCATTCCTTCAGTTCTAATTCTGTGACACTGAATGCAGATATTATCCACTAGCTCATTGGTGGGTTGGAGGATGGAAGTCCAGCATATTTCTAAGCCTCAGAAACAGCTATTCCTAACCTAGGATTCAGCAATTTCTAAAGACTCTGAAGTTGTTCAGACCTAATAAACTGGCATTTTCACCTCTAAACATATACCCTAAAGCAATTATAAGCTATATATGTAAAGATTTTGCTAAAATAATTTGTTCTAATATAACAGATCTGAAAACTATATTAATGTTAAATATCCAGAGACTATTTAAACAAATTATGGCATAAAATGGAAATCAGTAAGTCATTATAGTGATATTGAAGAATTCCACACTTTAATCTTTGCCAAAAGGCCAAGAAACAATGACATTGAAATGTTCAAATTCTAATAATGTGTAGTTGATTGTAACAAACCTTCCAAAAAACAAAAATTTGGGGGAAATTAACTGTTTGAAGGTATCAAAAGCTACAAAGAGCCTTAGAAAGCTATTAAGGTAATGAGGACTTCAAGAGTCATGATTTCAGAAAAAAGGAAAGTGCAAAGAAGTGAGTCTTAGATCACATGCAACTTTGTCACTCAAGAAACTTAATGAAAAAAATGACTTAATATGTACAGTGAACATTAGTCAAGTGATGGTTACATTAAATAACCACATTTCACATCTATGCAATATATCCTATATATGTAACAAAAATGCACTTGTACCCCCTAAATATATAAAAATAAAATACAGAGGAAGTTTAATTATTTGTCATGTAACAATCTGAACTCTAAACCCACTGAAATAGCCCTTCAAAACTGAAGGTATAATAAAAACATTTTCAGAAACAAAACTAAGTAAATTTATCCCCTGCAAGCCCAAACTAAAGGAAATACTGAAAGGAAACTTCCTATATGAAAATAAATAGATACAAGAAGAAGTGAACAGTAAAATAAAGGGTAACTATGAGGGTAGATAAATAAATAAATAACATAATATATTTACACAATGTAAACTCATAATACTAATGATATCTGTGTAACTTATATATGTAGAATTAAAATATATAAATTTTTAATGAATGCAAGTGATTTAAGTACTGATCAAGGAAAATGTTATGACTACAAGGTGACAGTAGCACACGAGTTTTATTTGATCAACACTTTTGATAGATTTGTAAGAGTGTGGGATTCATTAAACCCTGAAACTTTCCAGACACTGGTGGGTGGCAACCATCCAGAAGGTGAGAAAGGCAAAGGAACACAAGAGGGAGCATAGGGTCAGAGTTGTGGCTTATGTATGCTGTTTCTCAGCAACAAGGCAGAAAGTCTCTGGGTCAGAGAACTCTGAAAGGCAACAGCAGTTTATGTTTTTATATTTTGAAGTTTATCCTACCTATGGCTAGCAAATGTGTACAGTTTCACAGAGGTATGCAAAGAAAGCAGCCTCTGATGACTAACAACATGCTTATTTGGGCTATATTTAAAGAGATTGAATGTGTAAAAATTGAGTTTAATGCTATCAGGCTTTTGAGCTAGCAGACCTAGCTTTTTTGAAAAAGTAAACAATACAGGGACCAATATACAGAGGCCTTTTTTGTCTCAGTTGTATAATAATCTAGCCCTGGCAATGTTAGTTTGTAGTGCCTGAGTGCAGAGCCGACAGTAAATGAGACAGAATCCTGTAACGGCACAAGTTAGAATTTCAAAGCTCTTTCACATCCAGTCTGCCAGGAGGAAAGCCGGGAGAATAGATTTTTAAATTAAGGCATTTTGATTTGTTCAATTATTTAGTCAAAAGAGTCACATAATCCCACTGGTGTATGTCCTTGACTATCCTTAAGACCGAAATCAGATTGGCAGAAGCAAGTTCAGGATGCAGTTATTATAAATTGGTCATCATATGTATTGCTGAGGCTGAAGCTATAGGTACAGCAATTAGGCACATTAGGTATAAACCTAATCTAGGTTTAGACAACTGAATATTCCTTCTTGTTTGGATTGGTGTGCCTTGGTGCTTGAGTTTCCTGATGATGACCAATAATAAACAGCATCAGAGTATTTTCATGGATCTAGAATAAGCTTCACAGGAATACTTGGCTGTTTGAAAAAAAATATTAACTTATCCATGCACCAAATTATATCCTGAACTATGAGGCACTCACATATGTGATCTTCACAGGTAGGTCAAATTATTTTAAAAGTAAATATAAATTATATTATACATTTCGGCAATTTCCATCCCCGTTTATCATGACGTTGTTACATTTCAGTGGGACAGCACTTATTTCATCATTTCCAATCCAGGATAAACTTTTACTGGAATTCCATTTTTATAGTTGTGATAGCCTCAAGGGAGCCCTTGGGAAACAGTAGTGTGATGTCACCAGTAAATTTCTTCCCAATTTATCTTGGATACCAGGATTCTTCTTATTGTTTCTATCTCCTATATAGTGTTATGTATACTAAAAGATTGAATGCACAAGTGCACAATAACTGTACCATATATAAAAGTAGAACTCTAACTCACAACATTCAGCAATCTGCCTAGGAAACCCTCTCTTATATACAATAAGGAAGTTAACCTGCTATAAGTCAGACTTATAAAGTGTCAGATTGCTATCTTTAGTAACAATCCAGGAAATTAAACAAAAACTTCTACAATAATCAACCCCAAATTGTCAGAACTTAATTTAATAATTGACTAGAAGGTAGAAATCCTTGCAATTATTGTAGAGCCAGGTTCCATTGAGCATTATGCAAAATTTGAGTTTGGTGTTTTTTTTTTTTTTTTAATTTGAGACAGAATCTCACTCAGTCACCCTAGAGTTGAGTTCCATGGTGTCATAGCTCACAAGCAACCTCAAACTCTTGGGCTCACGCAATCCACTTGTCTCACTTTCCTAAGTAGCTGGAACTACAATACCAGCCACAACTCCTTTCTAGTTTTTCTATTTTTCAGTAGGGTCAGGGTCAAGTTTTGTTAAGGCCAGTCAACTACTCCTGAACTCAGAAGATCCACCTGCCTTGGCCTCCCAGAGTGCTGGGATTACAGGTGTGAGACATTGCACCTGGCCTTGTAGCTGACATTATGAGTTTGGGCTGTGGAAGAATTCTCATACTGGTTGTAGTCTACAATTTTTCATACATGCCTTGGCCCAAGTGATATGATGTAGTATTATACATTCCTTTACTTATTCATATTGATTGACACCCAAGCAGGAGGTCCATGACAAAATGCCCCTGGCCACTTTGTTAGTACAATATTTTTCTGTCTAAGTAAATGAGGCTTATATTGCAGGAGAAGAGAGAACATTATAATTAAAAGAA